AAAAAAAAAAAAAAAAAAAAAAAAAAAAAAAAAAAAAAAAAAAAAAAAAAAAAAAAAAAAAAAAAAAAAAAAAAAAAAAGGAATGTGCAGCAGCCGTGAAGTTTAGTCTGAGACTCCCCCAGGAATACAGACTAGGTGTATGAGGGCCATTCAGCAAGTGGCAGCCAGATTTCATCCTGAATTTCACCTCAGTTAGCCAGCTGGGATTCTTCTGGGATTCTTCTTGGAGATTCAGCCTTTCTTAACCTTAACATTTCCACTTTTAATCAAAACAATGGGTAAAGTCATCCTGTGCCACCATGGTGCCTCAGTGGTTGATTATCCAATGTGGATCCATCCTATCTTCCAGCTGGATTGTTGTGGCTGGGAAATTGAGCAGCTGGAGTCATTTCCTAATGAGGGGCACCCAGATATCTATTACATCTAAGTTTAAGTCTCTTGGGTAAGTTGGTGCCATTTCCTAGGGCAAGTGATTCCAGAGGATTGAGGTGTTCGGTTAACATGATGCTGTGGGTCTCTTGTAAACACCTGCTAAAATAGTCTAGAAAGATCTTGAGTAAGACTCACATATTTTAGCCATGAGGAAGATCACTAAAAACTGTAGAGCAGAAGTCAGTAGGTTGGAACATGAGCTGAAAAGATCTAAGAATTGGAAGTCTCATCAGCCGTGAGGACCTTTTGAAGGTACTCATTTTAGGAACTTAGCCAGTTATAGGGTTTGGAACTTTCCAAGTCACCCTGTCTAGATATATTTATCCAAGTACTACATGAGGTAGTCAAAACAGCACAGACATCATACTGTTCAACAGGGGGAAACCCAATGCAATGTGGTCATCCAGGGCTGCTCAGGTAAGGGAATCTGAAGGTCCTTTTGGGCCCTAGTGGACTGAGCATCAGAGCAAGCAATTCTACTGACAGCATTGGAAAGGTTTCTGAGCATACTGTATACAGTCTAAACAGTGCCAGCGCCTGTATACTTTTTCTAACACAAGCACCTGGACCAAATCTACTTGGCAAATCACACCCGCACTACTTACATGCAGATATATTACCCTAGTTTGAAACTCAGCTGCCTCCTCATGATCTGCGGCCTTCTCTAATAGGAGAAGCCCTTTTTTCTCTAGACTGAAGGGAGACTCTCTTATAACGATCTTAAATATTATGAATGGGGTTGTAAGTTATCCACAAAGGCAAGTTCCTCCAATCCTCCAGTTATTAAGGTAGTTATACAATAGGCCCATATCATTTTTTTTTGTTCATAAATAAAAGTATATCCTTTGGGAACACATAAGACACCAAAGATTTTTAAAAATTAAGTAGAAAATTATGGGAAGAGAGGATAAAATGCAACTATATACTATGAGCTAGTAACTTTGTGGTCACATATTTTTTAATTGAGTTTATTGGTACATTTTAGGTGTACGGTACAGTTACATTCATTATTGGGATATTGTACCTCTACATGACAGGTCTTGGTTCTCATGTTTTCCCCTTGTCCATGCCCTCCCTTTACCCCCTCCTCCCCTCCCCATTTACAAACACTTTATTTCCATCTTTTCATTTTGTAAATACTGAATAGTTTCTCTGGTGTGAATAAACTGTAATAGTACATAAGATCCTAATGAGATAAATGACATTGTGAAATGGGAAGAAAAGGGCTAAAGGTGTAGGGAAGGTGGGATGGGTAGGGGAAGGGTAATAAGAGAAAAGAAAAAAATGTGGT